CTGGGGGGGGGGGGGGGGGGGGGGGGGGGGAGCAGGAATCAAGGGGAGGACGCAGGAACCAGAGCCACATTCCCCCCATAGAGGCAGTAACGTGGGGGGAGGGGTTACTACCAGGTTGTTACTACTAGGGATGTAAAATTTCGATTCTTTGGCTAATTGAATAATTGACGCAATTTGCATCGACTATTCGATTAGTCAATAAGGGCACTTCTGCCTTTGAAGTGTAGCAACAGCCCCAGGGCTAAAGCGCTGTGGGGCGCACGGGGTCAGTGGGGGACTCAAGCAGTCCCCAGCTGACCCCGGGCTCCATGCGGCACTGCCGCTTTGAAGTACCCCTCCCTTCCCCCTTGCTGCCTCCTTCCGATAGAGGTAGCAAGCGGAGGGGAAGTGACTAGTCCACTCATCATTCACATCCCTACTTACTACATTTAAATTGTGGAGCCGCAGTGGGGGTAGTTCCCGGAGCTGGCAGGAGCCGGGACTGAGCGCCTTCCCTTATCGACTGATAGGTTCCCGGGGGGGGAGGGGGAGGCATGAAGAAATTCCAGGTGACCCAGCCCCCTGTCAATCATCCCCCCCCCCATTGGGGCAGAGGGAGGATGGAGTGTCCCAGGCAGACTTCAAAATGGCCACTTTAAAAAGGCAATGCCAGCTCTGCTCTTAAAAGGGCAACTTTTTTTTCTCAAGGTTTGCTGCTATTTTGGGGGGGGGGCTCTTGAGGGTTTCTCAAAAATCAGAAAGGGGGTGTGATGCTGAAAAGTTTGGGAACCGCTGTTCTAGAGCAAGGGAGGATGTCAGAGCCCTGGGGTGAGAGCAGGAGCTCTCTGTACCAGTGTGAGGCTGGTGGAACAGATGAAGGCAGGAGACCCAGGGGAGTGGAGCAGGGGGAGTGACATAGCCCGGGTTTAGGGCTCCACGTACATCACCTGTGGGGCAAATCTTGTGCACACCTGTCTCTGCAAACGGGTAGAGAGCCCAGCCGGCAGGGACGCCCTGCGTTCGCATTCCCCACGATGGCGTCCGCCGTCTCGGTCTTAACACCCGCTGCTTCCAAACTCCCTGTTTTTCTGCCCATTCAGACAGAGCGGGTCGGAGGCCTCGGGTCTGCCGCAGGACTCAAAAGAGAGGCGTGTGTGCGCATAGCCAAGTACCTCCTGGCTGTGTATTCTACCGGGTCGGCAGCTTGGCAATAGCTACTCATTGCTGCCTAGGTCAGTGCTTGTTCCCTGTCTAAAATAAGAGAGGAGTCCTCTGCCAAGAGGCAGCACCGTGCAATGGTTAGAGCTGCAGACTGGGAATGGGGACTCCCAGGTTTTATTCCCAAGTCTGTGCCTATTCGTTTCCGCATGGAGAATAAGGATAAGAATGGTCCCCATTTCCACAGGGGCGGTGTGACAGGCATTGGAATCCGGGGAGCACGTCATTGCCAGGCAGAGGGACCAGCCCCTCCCCACTGGGGCCGGTGCTGTGAGGGAGGGTCAGGCCCTAATCCCGCTGTTCTTTCCCTGGCAGGTAAAATCCAGGAGGGGGTGCTGGAGCTGGTAGAGCTCCTCGTTTCCCACTGCCGCCGGTACACGGTGTCGCTCACCGCCATGGAGGAGTTCCACATCAGCCTCTCCCAGTGCGTGGTGCTGCGCTACCACTGGATAAACCCCTTGATCCAGTCCCTCAAGGAACGCATAGCCCCCTTCAACAGGTAGGAGCAGCGGAGCCCCGGGCACACTTCCCACCTGTCCCTCTCTCCTCGGGCCACCCCAGCCCCCCGCAACCTGCTCTGGCTCGGTGACCCCTAGCGACTCCCCCGACATGCTTTGGATCCCAGTTAATCCAGTGTCTGCTCCCAAGACCCCTATGCAGTGGGGAGATGCTGCCCCCACTGAAATCAGTGTGAGCTTTTCCTTGGATTTCAACCGACGCGGGACCTGGCACCCTGTTAATCTGGCCAGGAGGCCAATGGCCCAGATGCTGTGCTGAGACGCAGGGGGCTCTGGGTTCAAGAGCAGTGAGCGTGCGTATTGTCTTGTAAATCTCTGACCAAAGGTCTCTTGCTTCAGAGGGGTAGCCGAGTTAGTCTATTACAGCCAAAACAACAAATGGTCTGGTGGCACTTTATAGACTAACAAAACATGTAGATGGGATCGTGAGCTTTCGTGCCCACAAACGCTCATGATACCATCTACGGCTACGGCTACATTGGCATGATCTTGTGCAAAAACTCGTCCAGAAGAGAGCGTCGACACTGGCATGTGCCTTTGCGCAAGAGATGTGCTTTTGCTCAAGAGCATCCACGCCAGAGTAGATGCTCTCTTGCACAAGAAAGCTCTGATGGCCATTTTAACCATAGGGCTTTCTCGCGCAAGAAATTCATGTTGCCTGTTTACACTGGCCTCTTGCGCAAGAACAGTTGTGCAAAGAGGGCTTCTTCCTGAGCGGGAGCGTCAGAGTTCTTGTGCAAGAAGCACTGATTTCATACAGTAGAACGTCAGTGTACTTGCGCAAGAACTCGCAGCCAGTGTTGACGGGCAGCAAGTTTTTGCGCAAAAGCGGCCACTTTTATGCAAGATCACGCCAATGTAGACACAGGCTTAGGCTACTAAGCTGTATCTGACCATTTTTGGTTTTTTCAAAGGTCTCTTGTGAGTTCTGTGCTTACCACTGGCTTGGAGACTGCCCAGGCCCATGCTGTGTTGGTGGCTGGGCCGAGGAAGTGCACAGTAGAGTGGCAGCCAAGGGAGGGGGGGTAACAACTGATCTACCCCCCAAGGGTGTTCAGTTTGTACAGATTCACCATTGATAGAAACAGACCTTTGCTTGGCCAGCAAGAGGGAAGCCCCTCTGCAACAGAGGACGAGTGATGCCTGCCTTTCTCCTTTAGAATTTACATGCTACCTGAAGCTGAGAGAGAGAGTTCTAAGTACTCTTAAGCAGTGTGTCTCAACCAGTGGTACGAGCACCCGTAGGGGTACTGAGAGAAGTCTGGGGGGTACGTCAACACAACTGACATTCGGAGACAACTGAATGTTTGTGTTAAGTTTTACAGCGTTTTATTATTTTTGTACTTTTTACACCCAAAAATGTCATTGCCTGCCCAGCTATGATTAAGTTGTTTAAACAAATGTGTTGTAATGGTAGAAAAAAAATTGTGTCTGAAAACTGTAGGTAGTGGAGGTACTTATACTTTTTTTTAAAGTGGTACTTTGTACAAAAAGGTTGAGAAACACTGCTCTTAAGTACAGGCAGTCCCCGGGTTACATGGATCCAACTTACATCGGATCCCTACTTACAAACGGGGTGAGGCAACCCTGCACTAGCTGCTTCCCCCCAGCAAACCAGGGAGACGCGAAGCTAGCGCCCCCCCCACCCCCCCAATAGACCAGGGAGACGCGGAGCGGCTTTTCTCAGCAGACTCCTCAGCTTGAGAATAAAGGACTGAGGGAAGTGAGGTGTGGGAGAATAAAACTGAGCTCTGGAGAAATGTTTGGCTAGAGTTTCCCCTACAATATGTACCAGTTCCGACATACATACAAATTCAACTTAAGAACAAACCGACAGTCCCTATCTTGTACTGGCCTTTTATGACAACAAACACCAGGTACTTAAGAGTACATAGAACCCCTCTTCATGTAGCATGGAAACTGACTATTCTGTTAGACTATCTGTCCTTTTCCAGTTACATACATACTCAGCTTTCTCTTTGATACTTACTTATCTACCCTCTGCCTCATTCTTTGTCCCCCTGCCCCATTTTTTTTCTTCTTCCCTCCTCCCTCCCCTTTCTTCCCTCATTGATTTTGTTTCTAGACATCCAACACTCCAGACATCTGAAGAAGTGGGCTGTGCCCACGAAAGCTCATGATGCTGTCTACGTTTTGTGTTAGTCTCTACGGTGCTGCAGGACTATTCATTGTCTAAGGTTTTTCTATTCCAGACAAACACAACGCCCCCTCTGAGACTTCTCCTGCTTTGTTTCTTTCCCCTGTTTCAGGTTCTTCTGTACGGCCAGCCAGGTGAAGGCGTATACCAACCAGTACAAAACCAGGTGAGTGAGTAGCACAGCAGCCTAGCTGTAGAGAGCCCTGGGGAGTAGGGCAAAACTGGCAGGAGGAGGGGTGGACGGGAAGCGGCTCGTGCTGTGCACAGACCCCGTGATCAAAGCCCCGCCATGGACGTGTCATATCCTGTTGTCTCAAAAGCCTGCTGCTTTTCAGAGCTATCCTCCCAGCCCCCCCATCACTGCCAGGCATAGTCCTAGATGGGTACATTTTGATCCTGGGCTGCAACCACTGGCTACCCAAAATACATCAACAAATCCAGTTACCTGACTGGGCCAGTTCTTGGCAGCTCCTTGAGCTGGTATCTTTCACCTTGCACTGCAGAGCCTCCACCTGTTAACAAAAAAAACTGTCTCTAGCCAAAGGTGACTTTAGTGTAATGCACTGATGTCTGCCTGAGTCTGCAGAGAGCCTGAAACAACAGGAGAGACCTATGAGGAGAGAGTGAGGGATTTGGGTTTGTTTAGTCTGCAGAAGAGAAGAGTGAGGGGGGATTTGAGAGCAGCCTGCAACTTCCTGAAGGGGGGTTCCAAAGAGGACGGAGAGAGGCTGTTCTCAGTAGTGACAGGTGGCAGAACAAGGAGCAATGGTCTCAAGTTACAGTGGGGGAGGTCTAAGTTGGATATTAGGAAAAACTGTTTCCCTAGGAGGGTGGTGAAGCGCTGGGCTGGGTTCCCTAGGGAGGGGGTGGAACCTCCATCCCTAGAGGTGTTTAAGTCTCGGCTTGACAAGACTTAAACCGGGTTGATTTAGTTGGGATTGGTCCTGCCTTGGGCAGCGAGCTGAACTTGATGACTCCTGAGGTCTCTTCCAGCTCTACGATTTTATGAACAGCCCTGACCGAAGGAAGAGCTGCCTCAGTCATCTCTGTTGCGTGTTCGCTCTGAAGCTAACAACACTGATTTAAAGTGTTGAGATAGTTAACAGTGTCGCTGCTGAACAAAGCACACAAGTAAGAAGGACAGTCATAAGAACAGCCAGACTGGGTCAGACCAAAGGTCCGCCTAGCCCAGTGTCCTGTCTGCCAACAGCGGCCAATGCCAGGTGCCCCAGAGGGAGTGAACAGAACAGGGAAGCCCCTGTCATCTAGTTCCAGCCCCTGACAAACAGAGGCCAGGGACACCATTCCTACCCATCCTGGCTAACCCCCATGAATTTATCTAACTCTTTTCTGAATCCTGTTAGTCTTGGTCTTCACAACATCCTGTGGCAAGGAGTTCCACAGGCTGCCCAAATGCATCAGGGGGACTCTCATGTAGGGCATTAATACTGCTCTTCCTGTGGGACAGGTTTCCTTAGCAGATCTGCCAGCACTCAGGTCTTTCTCCGGTCTCTGTGCAGGACTTTTGTGGGCTTGGAGGTCTCGTGTGGACATTCTCAGTTGCTGGATCTGGCCTCAGAGGTGGATAAAGTTATGGAGGAGTTTGATCTCCCAACGTTCTACAAAGTAATGTCTCGGTTCTTGTCGGCAATTTTGTCTCCTCCTCTCCAAAATCTCCAGAGGCGCCCAGGGCTCTGCGCTGCTCCGCTGGCTTCAGTATGGAGCCCGGGGGAACAGGTTCATAAGAGGCTTGACCTTGAGAAGGAGCCAGTAAAAGGGGAGTGGGGAAATGTGAACTCGCCTCCTGCTCCAGTCCCCTCTCTCTACTGCCACCATTTCCACAGGAGAGCACGAGGCTTTTACGTCAGCATCCAACCCAGGACTCTACCTCCAATGGCCCTTCTGTGAGCTGCGTGGCTTGGCTCTGAGCCTCGTTCCTAGGCACCTTGCTCGCAGGAGAAGGGCTTCTGGTTGTGGGGGCCATGGAGTGTCTCGGCTCGGTCGCAGGAAGGTCCCTTTCTTGGACAGTCTCCTGAGCTGCCTACCCAGCATCCTCTCCCTGGTGCCTAAACTCACTGACAGGGTTCGGGGAAGGGCTTTAAATAAACTCTGGTCCATGGGCTGAGTTGGGAGCGTGCGTCCGGCTGGGAGGCGTCAAACCTCCACTCAGAGGCCTGTGTAGTGCGGGAGGCGTTTCCCCGCAGTCAGGAGCACATCGAAAGACGCTAGGCCAGGCAGGCCAACAGGGAGCCAGGATTCACGGTGGCTAATCCTGTCCCCGACTCACCTCGGGGACCTGCCTGCACAGTGGGGCTAATGGCGGGCTTCGTGCCCGGAAAGCGCCCTGGGTGGTGGGACCCTGCAGGGCTGCGTTACGCCAGCCCCCAGACGTGACCGCCACCTTGCACCTTCCTCTGGCTGAGCTGCTGTGTCTCTCTGTGCAGAACCCATCCTTCCACATCAGCCTGGCCTGGTGTGCCGGGGACCTGAGCGACCGGCTGGAAGGGCAGTGTCTCCAGGAGCTGCAGGTAACTCCAGAGGGAGCCCTCTCCGAGGAAAGCACGGCGGTGGGGGGAACCAGCCCCCAGACGTGACCGCCACCTTGCACCTTCCTCTGGCTGAGCTGCTGTGTCTCTCTGTGCAGAACCCATCCTTCCACATCAGCCTGGCCTGGTGTGCCGGGGACCTGAGCGACCGGCTGGAAGGGCAGTGTCTCCAGGAGCTGCAGGTAACTCCAGAGGGAGCCCTCTCCGAGGAAAGCACGGCGGTGGGGGGAAGGGATGCAAGTAACTCGCCAGCCCGAGTCAGAGGCGTAGCGAGGGGCTGCTGTGTCTCTCTGTGCAGAACCCATCCTTCCACATCAGCCTGGCCTGGTGTGCCGGGGACCTGAGCGACCGGCTGGAAGGGCAGTGTCTCCAGGAGCTGCAGGTAACTCCAGAGGGAGCCCTCTCCGAGGAAAGCACGGCGGTGGGGGGAAGGGATGCAAGTAACTCGCCAGCCCGAGTCAGAGGCGTAGCGAGGGGGTTATAGGGAGGAGGCTCCAGCCACCGGCAGTGGGCAGAGGAGGAGCAGGCGAGCCGAGGGATGACAAGGAGAGCAGAGGGGGATTAAATTGGCACCCCCCTAGCGTGGTGTTCAGGGACAAGTGCCCCCCTCCCGAACTCCTCCGCTATGCCACTGGCCCCCGTGTCTCCAGGGATGGGGAGGGATTTGGGTAACTCTTCAGCAGCCTGTAGGTGACTGGCCTGTAAAACTCAGACAAGGGATGAGAACCTTTCGGGTGGGAGTTGGAGTTCAGTTCCGCCCCTCTCAGGTGCCTGGGGAGCCCCCGCTGCTACCGTTGCCTCGTCTCTGCACCGCTTCCGTACGGGAGCCGTGGTCCGTGTGCTGTGAGCGACCGGCCCGGCCCATGGGAGGCCTCTGCTCACGCACGTTGACGCTTCCCTCACCGGGCCGGGTGTGTGTTCC